TCAATTTAATCTTGAGAATTCTATAGACAAGATGTCGTTGCAAGGGGTTATCTTATGGTCTCAATATCACATAGAACCAAATGGTGCAAAACAACCTCCTGCGAAAAGGAAACCCATATTTGGTGGAGATGACGATTCAGATGAGGATACCAAAACTGGAGATGGTGGAATAGAGGAAATTGGTGAGCTTGAAGAGCCACCATCCAACCAAACTGTCGCGAAGCCTTTACAGAAAAAGGGTCTCCAAATCTCGATTGGATCGAAACCAAAACTTAATCCCTCGAAAAAAGCGCCCATAAGTATGTATGGCGATCTTTCGAGTTCGTTGACGTCGAAGAAACACGCGGATACTGCAGAGGAGCTTGATGCGAATATTTACGACTACGATGCAGTTTACGATTCGTTGAAGCCAAAGAAGAAAGTAGTGGTTGAGGAGGAAGAACGGAAGCCGAAGTATATGAGCAACCTTATTGCAGCGGCTGCAGTGAGAAAGCGCGATTCTACAATCGCTGAGGAGAAGAAGCTTGCGAGAGAAAGAGAAGCCGAGGGGGATGAATTCGCGGATAAGGAGAAATTTGTGACATCAGCATACAAGAAACAACAAGAGGAGAATCGCCGGTTGGAAGAAGAGGAACGATTAAAGGAGGAAGAAGAGCAGAGAAAGAATAAGGGAACAGGGATGACCAACTTCTATAAAAATATGCTTGAAAGGGGTGAACAGCAACACGCTGAGGTAGTAAAGGCTGCAGAGGAAAGGATTAAACGAGGACCCCAAGAAGATGCTACAGAGGATGAAAGCACGAAGACTGAAGCAGATATAGCCCGGGAAATCAACGAGAAACGTGCGGGAACTATTACAGTCAACGATGAGGGCCAGGTTGTTGACAAAAGAGAACTACTTAAAGGTGGATTGAACGTGATACCAAAGGCAAAATCAGCGTCTAATGCGAACTCATCAAGAAGCGGAGGCTCAATGCCTAATCGTGGAAGAGGTAACGCATTTGTAGGAGCCGGGGGTGGAAAACAAGCTATGCGTGAACGACAGTCACGAATGATGGAAGAACAATTAGAACAAGCTACCAAACGAGCGTTAGAAGAGGAGGAGGAAGAAAGGGAGAAAATCGAAAGAGCTTCTAAGAGTAGAAAGACTGAAGGCGATATTATGAGCGCCAAGGAGAGATACCTTGCTAGAAAAAGAGAAGCGGAAGAAGCAAAGAAAAGAGGAGAATGAGGAAGTTTCATAATTCTAACAGCAAGATGCGCTCTGAGATTCTAGCTGGAATCCACAACTAACATGGAAGCTGGTTAAAATTATTTATACTCATGACAGCAAAAGGTTGGTGTATTAATCAAGCCTAAGGAAGTCGAGGAACAAATGGTTCCAGAGATTTTAATCAAGACATATAACAGCATCATCACGAGCCATAAGCAAGAGCGAAGTATACTGGATACCCAAACACCCTCAAGGAATAATACTCCATGTCTATCATGTCACATAAATAGAAGATTTGAGGATAGTTGAAGCTAGTTCTCGCGTCCATGCAACTGCGGCATGTAAATATAATAAACAAAATCAACATCACAGCGTATGTCCATGGAAGTCGTAACTTTTTGCATTTCATTCGTGATGTGATATCTCTAACTTTCTGTTTTTATCAACTCCAGTCCCGGAGGCGCGATGACCCATTCATAGTGTACAAGAGTGTAATACACTCCTTCAACGTCATAACCCATCCAATGGCAAAATTTTATGTCTCGTTCTCACGGTAATCCCTCTTCTCTCTCTTTCACCATGAGGAAAGATCCAGTTCCAAAAATCGAAATCCCGTAGAATTAAGCATTCGCTCTCAAAAAGGCATTCCTACCCTCTCTTCCTCTCATCTCTCCCCATCATCCTTCTCTGCCCCGCTTCTTGATTAAAATCCGCATTCAGACCTAAAACATCCCTCCGTTCGTCGACCCAGTCGCCGACTCCCTCTGCAATCTCGCGATATATTGTTTAGAGACAGTATTCCAAGCTTGCATGTATTTCTCCATGCATTGAGTGAAACAGGTTGTTTCGCCGCTGCTGAGAGAAGTGCCAGGTTTGGGGACGCATTTCTCGAAGCAATGTTCGTTTACTTTCTGGAGGGGGATTAATCTCTGGGGGGGGGGGGGGGGGAAAGAATAAGATTGAAGGGTAGAGGAGGGTATGATAGAGGACAAAAAGAGAAAGGGGAGATTCACCTCGATCAATTGTTTAGCATTGGCCATGGCAGCTTCTTGACGAACCTGATTCATCAGAGCAGCTTTTGGGTCAGAGGAAGCGAAGGCATTGTTAAGTGAATCCATGGTTGCGTATGTATGAGTGTGTGTATAAAAAGTGGTGTTTCAAAGAAACCGAATCTCGCGTTGTTACAGAGAAGAAGCTAAGTTTTCGTTGTTGATTTCTGCTCTGAATATCTAGACCTCAATTTTTTTAATCAACCTCAAAAATGATGATGTCAAATTCACTCCTCGGCCTTAGGCAAGTACCTAGTACCTACCTCAGGGTCGATACCCACCACAAGTCCCTGTTCCAGCACTAATTTACAGTGCCGCAAGCACCGTCACCGAGCGCTACAGCACCATCCATCGCACTACAACCAAAGCGTAACAGGGATCTCAAGAAATCCCCGATGTAAACCTTAAGGCCAGCTAACAGCTAACAGTTAACAATTTAATCTGACGACCTCGGGGGTAACTAAGGTTCAACGTCCTATTTGTACGGTTTCTCTTCTCAAAATCCTATTCTATTTTCTGCGGACCATCCTCTTCTTCTTCATTTACTTTACTTTACCAATCTTTCTTTCCTAGTTTCACACTTCTTCGATCGCCGAATTGATCTTTCGTTGATTGGGGAGGTACAGACATTGGCCGAAGAATACCGTGGATAGGGATAGGTTCAATAGGAATAATGTGGTTCCCTAAATTATTGTCAGCGCTATGGCTGGCATCTTGTGTTATGGCAGCTGGAGATACGCAGACCACGAAATTGAGCGAGGATGGGATTAGAAGTATACCGGTTAGTTTCACTCTATAGCTGGATTAGTATTAAAAGGATGTTGGCTGACCCGTTGGAGTAGCTCCGAACACATTCACTGAATCAGGTCAGTAGTTAAATACGATGCGCATTACATGGTTTGCGAATTTTGCTGATCTGGAATTGGATAGCCATATTTGGATTCAGATATGCAAAGTAGATGGTTTGATTTTGGTGGAAATACTATTGTGAGAGCAGACAAGTATGGATGCGCACCAACGCCCCGAGTGATCGATCGGAGTAGATGTGCTAATGCTGAGGTGCTAGATATATACGGTTGACATATGATCATCCATCTTCATCGGGATGGCTCTTCTCACGAGTTCCATTGACGGCCACAAACTGGGAGGTATGATTAAATCCCCTTCACCTTTTTTGAATCCAACCTGACCATACTTCTTCCACAGATTGAAGTCGAATTCAAGGTACATGGCCAGGGCAATCTCCATGGTGATGGCTGGGCCATGTGGCTCACCAAACAACGCGCCACCGAAGGCGACGTCTTCGGCTCCGTCGATAAATTCGAAGGTCTTGGTATCTTTTTCGACACATATAAGAACAACCGTCCTGGTACCGTATTCCCCTATGTAATGGCAATGGTCGGCGACGGAAGCACTTCATACGACAAGAACAACGACGGCAAAGATCAAGAGTTCATGGGCTGTTCTGCACGAGGTCTACGCAATGCGAACGTACCAACCAAAGCCAGACTCACCTATTTCCAAGACAAATCCCTCAAACTCGAACTTCAATATAAGAAAGAAGACCAATGGGAACTCTGTTTTGAAACTTTCGAACCACCGACCATTCCCTCGGTAGCATATCTTGGATTTTCAGCAGAAACAGGAGAATTGAGCGATAACCATGATATCATCAGCGTCAACACAAACAATCTGTATGACACCAACACACACAAGAACAAATACAAAGATTCGCAGCCTACATCCAGAATGGAAAAAGTAGATCTCAAAAGGGCCAGGGGGTTTATAACCGGAAAGCCAATAGGCAAACGGGAAGGTTGGAGTTGGGTTCTTCGTTAAGTGTTTTTGCCGGG